TCTCTCTCTCTCTCTCTCTCTCTCTCTCTCTCTCTCTCTCTCTCTCTCTCTTCTTCCCCCCGCCCTCACCTAGCCTCTCTCTTCTTTTTCATCTCGTCGACAGCACTTTAATTTTAACGTACCAATTCTGGTTGATCATAGTTGAGAATCCAAAGCACAGTGACTTCGTCAAACTAAGGACGATGCTAATATCGACGCATATGCAAGATCTAAAGGACGTCACGCAGGACGTTCACTACGAAAATTTTCGGGCCCAATGTATTTCCCAAATTTCACAGCAAGCGATCCGGGAACGGAGGTATTTACGCATGTAAATAAATATTGCATTTCAGTAGGTATATACATACGGATGTTTACCGCGCGTTCGCAATGCTCACAGGACAGTCTCGAGAGTGACATATATTTTGCGAGTCTGTCGACGTCAAAGGATAAAATCTCTCAACACACGTTACATCATTGTTGCACTGAATATACTGACGATTCCTCTCGAGTATCCTGTGTGCTTTGCATAATCAATGAAAGTATTCGCGGCATTCTTTAGACCCGTATACGGAGAATATGTTGTAAAAATTACGTTAAAATTATATTTTTCTCTACGCAATATTTTTCGTAAAATTAGATTCTGTTATGTAGTATAAATTGCTACAGAAATATAGCAAATCTGATGATCTACCTGATATACAATGTAAACAAAAATTAAGTGATTACAATAATTTTATAGTAAAGTCAAACATTCATTGCGTAATATTCTTACAAACAAATATATATTAATTTTGATCATAATTCTGTATTGTCCAAAATTACAAGAATTTTGTCATTTTTACTACGATATTTTCTCCGTGTAGTTTTGTGATGATCCTGACGCTATGATAATTTAATCGCGAAATTAGTTTTCGCATTAATTTCTCTGCGTCGTCTAATGCAAGGCGTAAAAATTGCAGAGTATTTTCTTGTAAAATTGTTAAATATTTTCTTATAAAGATGCACGATATCTTTTTCTTTGCCGTGTTAATACTTCGATTGCATTTGTCAGTTTGTATTTCCTCTCCCTTCGGATAATCGACGATACACACGCCTTTTCTTTTATCTTTGCAGTAAACTGAAGCGAGACTCCGGGCCGCATTTCGAGAACAATATATCCGACACAGATAGACTACTCTTGCAGAAGGACGAAGAGGTGAGAGCAAAAAAAATGAGTGATATTATCACGTATATACAGAGTACCCCAGCTCGATTTTACAATTTCTCGCGTTAATGATTCATATTCGCCATTCGCAGATACGAAGGATGCAGGATATCCTAGCGCAAATGCAAGAGAAACTCAAAGCAACCGGTCAAGTTGGCGGTTTGAAAGGTCGAGTCGGTAGCCTCGGCAATGATCTGGACTCTGCGGACGTGGAGAAAAAACGTAACAGTATTATAGACGTTTGAAGTAAATTATTTTCGGGATATATTTAGGACATAGGGTTTATCCGAGAGGTCTGTACATATATTTAATTTTCAATTACTTTCTTCGATATATTATGTATACGATATATGCATAGAATTTACGAAAACTCTTCGAGTTTTCTCTTTATATACAGAGTGTCCCAGATTCTCTTCCGCAATTTTGTGGGAACGTAGAACGGATTGAGGTGAACATAAAGGTACTATACCGTTTTGCGATATTCTCAATCATAGTTGGCAGACCTTACCTTTTGACACACTCTGTATATTTGTGTTAAAGAGAGCGGCCAAGTTTAGTCTGATTTTTCGAAAATATCCAATATTTTTGCATATTATAAAAACTTATGGCGAGCTGATTCCAACTATCTCTCTCATATGCGAAGGACCGATTAATGGTCGAATAATGGTTCTAAAACTGATCAGCTAGATGCTCTGATCGGTAGGCGACAACATAGTCTGCTGCTCTCGCCAGTCAATTTTGAACTATACATTCACAGATGACGACCCAGAACTTTGAACTTAGTGGCTCGCGCAAGTCGAGTTCAGTCAAAATTCAAATGAAAACATGGCATCGCCATTTGTTGATTTTGAGAGTTACATGGTTCGAATCTGCTCGCTGTAAGCTTTCATAATATACAAAAAACATATCAGACTAAATACTATATTATATACGCTAGGCCATACTTTTTATATTTATTATTCGTTGAGCTCTTTCTCTTCTACATCCTTGGTCACACATTTTATCTCGCGTTTAGGAGGAAACGCGAGCTAATGCTGCCAAAAATTGACAAACGCTTACTCGCCAAACATTCGACTCGAGTTTGTACAGATCTGTCGACTACACTCTGCATTACGTCAGTGATACGCAAAATCGTATTTTATACTTAGCGTATACATATAAATTATTTATACCAGAGATAGACACGCAAATAATCGTATCGAAAACTACCGAGAAAATACACCGTGAAAATAAAAAATATGTATTTGTTTACGTCGAGTGCTGTTTACGAGATGGCTGTGTAACAGACCGAAAGAAAAAAGGGTCGTTTCGTTTGAAGATATTTTAACACGATCATAACAAACAACACATAATAGCGCGACAAGATATCGGAAATCTGTTCCTCTTAGCTGCGCCACACTGAAAAAAAAATCTAAAAAATAAAAAATAATTTATTCTATGGGTACTAATTACATGTTTATTTGCACTAATACATAGATATCTTTACATTAAGAAAAATTCTTTTTCACAATTTATGAAAAAATATATGCATTTTCCTAAAATCGTCACTTTTCATGAAGACAATTGTTTATTCTGTTAAGAATAAAAAATTTAGATTTAAGAAAATATTAGTACCTACCGAATAAATATTTTTTATCTTTTAGATATTTTTTCTCTCTGTGTATACATTATATACATTTTGCACTTGAAATGAGATAAATGTATGAAATAAAATGTATTTCCTGAAAAATAGAAGGAGGAAAGTTGTATAGAATGCATAAGTATCGAGAGTACATGGAGTGCAGTTAAGAGAAGAGATTTTTAAACTGACTGATTGATTGAGCGTGTAAACAAAAGCATTAGAATCAGTAAGCTACTTCTAGATGTTTAGCATACTAGTATGCAGATTAATGGTATGCCAGTGTGAACTGTGACAAGTAATTAATGTTCTAAATACGCACAATATTCTCTGTAATTACGTAAATTTAATGTGAGAAGTATTAATTATCGAATTGTGAAAAACGCATTTACACGCCTCCTAATTTATTTAATTCTTAATTTATTTTATTTCGTCTAAACTTTATTGTTGAGAGGCAGAGTATGTAGACTTTTTATAATAATAAACGTACCGTAAAATACGGTAAATTTCAGTCTCAACACATATTCTAAATTTAATTCTTGTATTTTCGTGTTCTCCCTTCATTCCACACATTCTCTATTCTTTCTACTTTCAAAATAAATGAAATAGATTTGTCTTTACTTTTTAAAGCATCTCCCTATCGCGCACAAGTAACAATTTGTTGAATACTGACGAAAAAAGGAACAGGTGAGAGAGAGCAAGGAAGGAAGAAGAGAGAGAGAGAGAGAGAGAAGTGCCGTGCACAATAGTCATCCTTTTTGTCATCGCGAAACCTAATTTTATGGAATGGTTAGCATAGTATAGGTTCTTTAATAATAGAATCGAAAAAAAATTGCTACATTGAGATGCTTGAAAAGTTGAGAAATTTAAGCGTTCAGAACGTCACGAAATTCGATATACAGAGGAGAATTCAAAAGTTTTTGTACTCACCCAGTTCTCCGAATTTCATCAAACTCGATCACGGCATTTCGATGACGATTCTCGACGTGTCATTCCTGGTTTCTCGCTGCATTCCACTGCATACACGCGCCCGTAACGCGACCCGCACTTCCAATCGATATTTCCCGAATAAAATCCGTATTCGACGATGGAAATGTCACGAGACACGGCGGACGATCCCCGCTTCACGTAAACTACCGTCGTGCTCCACGGCGCGACGCGCACGAATATCAGATTCGAAAGAAAGTAGTTCCGCGATCACGATTGGTGGAGGAGAGAGTAAGCGCCACTTCGAAGTACAGTCACGAAGTTGACGAAAGAATTCAGCTTGATTACGGACAAATGTAATCTCATCGAGACACTCACCATCGCACGTTTGCTGGACACTATTTTCGCGATATAGTCACAGGCGAGCACTGCTCATGTTCGTTAATCACTTCCAGCGTCGAGAAATTACAGTGAAACGGTCGAAATCGACGAAGAAACACAGGAGAACGTCGAATACAGGAATACGTCCGTCCGCCGCGCGGAACCGTCCAAAAAGAGCGTAGCGGGCAACACGCGCGACCTTCTAGAAAGAGAGAGATTAACGACGCGCGCAATCTACTAGAAAGAGAGAGGCAAACGACGCACCAATCCACAATAGAAGGAGCTCGCTAGCGATGCTCGCGGTCACGCATCCGATCAAAGCGTTGTAAACAAAAAGTCTTGCAGGCACGAAACGTTATGGTGTTTATGTTGTGTTATATGTTATGACATCTTACGATATTTTCACTTCCTCTTTTCTTCTTCTTTATGAGCATAAATACGAATGACCAGGGCCCTTATTCTTGAAATAGTTGCTTATACGTAAGTTTTACTGCGCTGATTTAATCATACCATAAAATAGCTGCGCAGTAAAACTTACGTATACGTAACTATTTCAAGAATAAGGGCCCAGCCATTTCACCTCCCCGTAATGTTTTAATTTTCTAAGTTAATCGCACACCCCACACACGCATACGTACACACGTACACATTTGACTGTTCGTGGGCACTTCTCTGCCATGGCAAAATAGTGCGCCATAATATCAGTAAATATTATTTAAATTATCGCTTATCAAGCAACCTACTTTTACATAATTATGAGATAATTACCAAGTCGTGCGAAGTATTTTATTACAAGGCATAAATATTAAGGGAATTATTTTTGTAATGTTGAGGACAAATGTTAATATCTCCAGATTACGTGTTGAATCGTGTTGTTTGTTGTATTGTCAATCCAATATCCATTACGATATCTTGCGACATTTTGGGACGTCTAAATCTTACCGCAAATGCGACTAGAGAACAAACGACGTGGTGCAATCAAAAGAACTATTAATACAACTTATTGTTATCCGTTGGGTAAGACTAGTGCGCAAATTACACGGTAGTCAATTTAGTGAATCGTAGTAACGATTCGGTCGTCAGACATTACCAAACACGAAAATCTTAAGTCAGCGATTAATAGATGTGACAAAATCGTCGAAAACTTTTCCTCGAAATCGAATCAGTCCAAAGTTATTCCGGAATTGATTGTGATGACAAATTGATTGTGAACTTTCAGAATACATGATTAAATCTTTTTCCTAATTGAATCATCGCAACACATGATGACTTTGAATCTCAATTTTGGGGGGGACTGCAACAGTTTGCTTGCTGCCACGATTGTTTATAGTTATCAAATCTTTGCAGAAATTTTGTACAGTTGAAACGGAGAAATGCGACTTTGTAGCCAAGATAAGAAGATAAGAAGATTACGTTGCATGGAATCAGGAACTGCTGCGATTGTAATGCCGAACGAACGATTAAGGCCGCGTCAGAAATTTGCGGTTTTATTATTAGCCATAATTATGGTTATGGGATCGCGTTAAGACCGCCGATAACTGCCGAGTTTCCATCTCCATGCCGTCATGATCGAAATGTCGCTATATAAAACTGAGCGACGTACTTGCAGATGAACCGTTTCAGTTTTGTGAACGCTTGTGGAATTTCATCAAATTGTGCTAATGATTCGGCAGGTTAGTACATTATTAAAATGTCTCTTTGAATCTAAAGCTTGTTAAAATTTCGCTAAATATTCTACACAACAACGAAAAGAAATAGCTTTCACGAGATAATTCTGCATTATTTATTATTGATAATATATAAACGGTTCCAAAATGTCATTTCGATGTGGTGCAAAGTTGTCGGGCTAGTACTTGATCTTTTTTAGTTGATCCTCTCCAATTTGGTCAAACCTGTGTACCTGTTCAGTGTTTCTATTTCTTTTGAGCAGGCGATACTACTGACGATGATCTTGGTAGGAGTTCAAAACGAACCGCAGGGTCCAGCTTATCTGCCACCCAGCTCTCGACCAGCTGGAGGTGGGGGAACAGGTCATCCGGATGAATGGGCCGGTGTAAGTACATGCATATGTGTTCTCGAAAAAAGAGCAATCTTTTATTGTCACGTGTTTTCTCGTGACGAAGTTGCAGTCAAATTTATTCAATCATACTTGTTAAAATCGATGTTCTTTTATACGTTAGGATCCGGCAAACTATGAATTCTCATACGAGGTCCAAGACGCGACGGCGGGTCTGGATTTTGGCCATCGTGAGATGAGAAAAGATATGGAGGCTACAGGGACCTACCACGTATTGCTGCCAGATGGCAGAACCCAAATCGTTGACTATGTGGCCGATGGGGCCGGATATCGGCCCATGGTACGGTACGAAGGTACAGCGACTTATCCAGCGTCAGGAGGAGGAGGACCCTCGCACGACGAGGGCTACAGATATTAAGGCTCTGAACAACTTTTTCGCATTTAGACGCCTCTTTGAGCTTAGATCTTTAAAAATTTAAACGGATTTGGATCAGATATATTTTAAGGATGCATTCTTAGAAGTAGCATTCTTTAGATGCGAACATGACTGTGTATCCGGCGATCATCAATGAAATTGACGACCACATACATTCTAAGAGCAGAAAATGCTCCGAGTAGACGATGGGAATTATGCATATGTGAGTTATGTGTGCGCGAGTACATTTAATTGTCCATTTAATAGCGACGTTTGCGATCTGGATAATTCCTAATTCCCAAACCAAAAATTGTACGATGTAGACTGTAAAAATCGTGCAACTATAATTTCATTTATATGTAATAAATAATTTGAAAACGATGGTACTTTTTCGTTTTCTGTAATATGTATAATGACTTAAGAACTGTCTCGGTTCATTTGTGATTTCGATATTCTATCAAAATATTAAGTGTACAAATTAATTCTCGGTCTTTTTTTACCAACTTTAATATTTATTTATAAAAACATTAATACAAACTCAACCTTCAAAGTAATTTCCTTCGCTTTCTATACATTTTTGTCATCTCTCAGGCAATTGGATTCCAGATCGGAAAAATAATGGTGGTTTTGATTCAATGAATTCATCAAGGCTTTTTTTGACCTATTCAACTGACTTGAATTGAGAATCAGTTAGGTGTTGTAGGGATCAAAATAGGTGGTAATCAGAAGGGGCTAAGTCTGGAGAATACGCCACATGAGGGAGAATTTCCCAGCCTAAATCTGAGATGGTTTCCAGAGTTTGTTTTGCTGTGTCCGGACGTTATCCTGCAACAGTATTATCATTCTTCTCCTATTGCCACTAAACGGTCTTTTTTCTTCAAGTGCGTCATTCACACAGATCAGTTTTTGTAGAGCTTAGAAGTGACGATCTGACCAGGTCGGAGCATGTCATAGTGGATCACGCCTTTCTAATCCCACCAAACCCAGGTAGCAAGGTAGCAAGGTGACGTCTAAAGATGTCATTAAGATGTCATTACAACGTCATGGACGTCTTAATGACATCTTAATGACATCTTTAGACGTCACCTTGCTACCTGGGAATGCATAGCAACACTTTTTTGCGATAGATATTCGGTTTTGCGGTGCTCGTTGATGGTTTACTTGGACGGACCCAGGATTTTCGCCTCTTAAGATTATCGTACAAAATTTACTTTTTATCACAAGTAATAATTTTGTGCAAAAAATCCTTTTTCTTGAACTTAGAGAGCAAGAAAAGAGCATCGTGGCGTCTGCTTTTGTTTTCGGGAGTGAGCTCATGAAAGACCCACCGGGATGGCACTTTAAAATAACTATATGGCGGGAAAAAATTCCAATTTGAATAGGTTCTGTAGTCGATGAAATGTAAGGGTCGAGAATTAATTTGTACACCTAATAGATTTTTATAATTGATGTCGTAAGCTGTAAGAATTGGTCAATCATAGTCAATTATTAAAAGAATAATAATTCTAATGTCTTACGGCTTATTTCACATATTGTAGACAAACCCTAAAACCCGTATCACACTACGGATTGGAGATAGAGTATTACCATGGACATAGTATACATGGGGTGTGTTCGCGGAGCAGCGCTATTTAGCGTTACAGGCTGTTCGCGGAGCTACAAGATCGCGCTAACAAACGCTATCATGAAGTGTTTTTTCATTTCGTGATCACGATAGCGTTTGGTTGGTTAGTTTGGTCCACTTAACGCTCGTAACGTCGCGAACGTCATTCTATCTTTGTTGCTCGAAGCGTTACGAGCGTTAAGTGGATCAAACTAACCAACCAAACGCTAATGTGGTCAAACGAAAAAACGCCTATGACATCACTAGTAGTAGCGTCTACGTCATAACTGCGCGCTACCAACGCTATTCCTTCCGAGGTAGTGCATTGGTAGCGTTAGCGTTCGGTGAGCTTCGCGAACACTGTCGGTAGCATATAGCGAATTCGCTATATGCACTAGTGCGCACTCAGTGCGCTCTAAACTTGTTCATAGTATGTTATTATATTTAAAAATTGTTTTAAATAAATTCTCAAATATTTTTAACTAATAATATAATATGTACATACAACATCCGTACGAATCATTTCATTAGCTAAAATGTTTTTAAATATGTATTTAAAACACGATCGTAAATATAAGAATATACTGTAAACAAGCCTTAGCGCGCACTCAGTACGCACTACCGTGCAAGCTACCGAATTCGCTAATAGATAATATTTATATGGCGGTTAGACCATTATATATTTAATATTGTAACGCTATTTCGCGTTCGGTGCGGGATAAGCTGCGAGTCGGTGTGGTCCGGATTCGAGCAGATGTAAATAATTGTGAAGACAGTGGGATGGATATTAAGATGATGTCTATTGTCGATTAGATGGCTATGTACAATGGGTATTTACAGTTTGGTTCGACGCCGTTGGTTTAACGAGCGGGTTTTTGTGTTCGCGCGTGTTGATGTTCGCTGCGGCGGGGCTCGTGCTGCGGGGCCGCTGGGCGGTCATGTGACGCGTCGATTGTATTGTGCTTGCGGCGCGATGTTGACGCTCGGATCTTTAATTTTGGTCGCGCGAGGAGCGCCGTTACTCGAGGAAGAACACGGTCCCGTGTACGTGATGCGCCGGAGTTTTGCGGAGCGGTCGTGCGCTATGAGGCTGGGCCACGGAAATCGGTTCCCCGGGGCGGCGGCGCGACTTCGCGGAGGTCGAAGCTAGGCAGGTGACGGAGCGTTTACAATACTGGAGGTTTCGCGGGTCCGACAGCCGATGCCGCTGTTTACTTGTCGAAGTTTACGCGGTTGTCGGCTTTGCGAATTCGGTACGTCGTCGGAGCGGTATCGAAGGATGTAGACTTTACGAATCCAACAAGTCTACGCGGAGGTCGACTATACGAATCCGATAAGTCGACGGAGCGGTAATGAGGCTGTAGACATTACGAATCCGACAAGTCTCCGCGAGTGTTGACCCTATGAATCCAACGAGTCAACGGAGCGGTAGCCTGTACGGATTTACTAAATCTACGCGGAGGTCGACTTTACGAATCCAATAAGTCGACGGAGCGGTAATCGAGGATGTAGACTTTACGAATCCGACAAGTCTCCGCGAGTGTCGACTCTACGAATCCAACGAGTCGACGGAGCGGTAGCCTGTACGGATTTAATAAGTCTACGCGGAGGTCGACCTTACGAATCCAATAAGTCAACGGAGCGGTAATCAAGGATGTAGACTTTACGAATCCAATAAGTCTACGCGGATGTCGACTTTACGAATCCAACAAGTCGACGGAGCGGTATCGAGAAATGTCGACTTTACGAATCCAATAAGTCGACAGGGCGGTGATGAGGAAGGTCTAGGATGCGGGGTTCTAGGTAGCGGTGTTCGCGAGGAGCTGCTGCTGTCGGAGTCTTAGCTCTGCTCAGCGGAGCACCTCGGAAGACTGCTTGCTTCTCAGCTTTTCGCGCGGTCTTTTATACCAATTTTAGCCGGATCTAGTGTTGTGTTATTCGCGGTCGGTCGGCGGTGTTTACATTGGTTTGTCGCGGGTTCTGTTTTCGTGACGAGTCGTTTCGTATACTTGGTTTTAACGTTTTCGCGGTTCGTTCTGTCTTTGTATTACGGACGGCTCGTTACAATATCTTACACAGTTTTAATTGATATAAAAAATGGCATAGTAATGACAACAACCCTTATAGAAATATTATACTAAGAATCATTGATAATTACATATTATCCAGTATTTTTAATACTAAAAATAAGTAATTATCAATGATTCTTAGTATGATATTTCTATAAGGGAATAACAGCAAACAGTTATGTAGAAATTACTTTTTACGATGCAGAAAGTAGAGAAGAATTTTATATAACACTATCTCGAGCTGATGTTCTCAAAGCACAAAACGGTAAGTTGTCATTATATTATTGTCGTCAAACTTTTTTTTTCTAGACTTAGGCATATGAGTGTTCACGATAATTATGCATACAGGACGCGGTAATGCTTGCCGCGCGGCGGAAGTTCGCGCGACAGCCAATCAATATGCTGCTTTCCGTAATAACCTTCTAGCTCTTACGGAAAAACAACATATTGATTGGCTGTCGTGCGGACTTCCGCCGCGCGGCAAGCATTACCGCGTCCTATCTGCAGGAGCCATTAGAGTTAGTTTCACTAGGACCGAAAATAATGATAGGCACGACTATCTAGTACTTTTGTAGTTTATGACAACTTCTTCTAAGGGCTCTCACACATGACCTCTAGTTAACTGACCGGTTATTCCATTGGACTTGACCAATCGTATTTAGCGTTAAGAAGAGCTATGCAGAATTAACCAATCACTGTTGAGATTTAACCGGTAGTTAAAGTTAAACGGAGGTTGTGGAACTGGGCCTAAATAAGGAGTTGATTGGCCAGTAATTAATGTAAATTTGCAGTTCGTCGTCCAAGTTGTAGACATAGGATGCTTTCCAGTTGCGTACACTGTGTTACACAAAACCAGTTTATTGGTTGCATATTATCTTACAAGATATTTTTGATAATATGTGACCAATAAACTAGTTTTACGTGTGTATCAAGATGTGTTAAGCAATTGGAAATTGCTTGGATGTATGGACCAATAAGCATCGAGTATTTAGCCGCCATATTAATAATTAATGCTTAATACTCAATGCTCATTGGTCCATATAGTCTTATGCTATGCACATGCAGTTATGTCATTTCATGCGTGAGAGTCCTAACTCAATGCCATAAGAACAAGCTGGAGTAAGAAGTAAAGAACTCGACAGGTAATAATTTCGTAAAATCTCACGATTATATCCATATTTTTTTAACGTGTGGTAAGATTATTTGTATTTTATTAAAATCATACTTATAAACTGTTATGTGAGAAATCTGAAGTGTAAAATATAATCCTAATTTAAAATAATATGTATCCTAATTTATTTACAAGAATTCTGTTTATACTATTCATATATGTGACGGAAGTTACGATTAAACTTACGAGTTTAAAATTACGGTTTGAAAATTATTAATATTATTTAATATTAATATTAATATGCAATTTTACGGTGTCCAATTAAACCGTGTCCAATCGCACTGTTGTCAAACGGGTGTCACTCGATGCATTCTATAAGTGCTTTCCAATTGCTTAACACATCTTGATACACACATAAAACCAGTTTATTGGTCATTATCTAAAATATCTTGCAAGATAATATGCAACCAATAAACTGGTTCTATATAACACAGTGTACGCAACTGAAAAGCATCCTATGTCTACAACTTGGACGACGAACTGCTAATTTACATTAATTACTGGCCAATCAACTCCTTACTTAGGCTCAGTTCCACAACCTTCGTTTAACTTTAACTTCCGGTTAAATCTCAACAGTGATTGGTTAATTCTGAATAACTCTTCTTAACGTTAAATGCGATTGGTCAAGTCCAATGGAATAACCGGTCAGTTAAGTTAACTAGAGATGGAACTCTAAGGGCCATACACAAAATTACATAGACGCATATGCATAGCATAAGATCATATGGACCAATGAGCATTGAATATTAAGTCGCCATATTGATGATTGATACTTAATATTCGATGCTCATTGGTCCATACTATCTTATGCTATGCATATGCGTCTATGTAATTTTGTGTGTGATGGCCTTTATGCCCAATTTCTTTACCTTTGGTTAACTTTATCTGCCAGTTATTCTATTGGAATTGACCAATCATATTTATGGTTAGCAAGATTAACCAATCATGGTTGACATTTATCCGACAGATAAAGTTAACCGGAGGTGAAGAAATTGGACATTAATCAGTTAGCAATATTTTAATTAGATAGTTAACAAATTATTGAATAATTCGCAATACTTTTGATAAGACCCTACCTCCGAGTGCGCCATCTCGCGATTTATTCTATCCAGGGTGCGTTCACTATTAGCGCTATTTACCGCCACTATGTTGTTCTATTCTTGTTGTATATCTAAGGAGCAATAAAGATAGAAGAACGCGGTAGCATTGGTAGCATACTCCCCGAACGCATCCTAATGGCCGAAGTTTCCAGAATGCTTTCCAGTCAGCACTCCAAATACAGGTCAAACCTCAAGATTTCGGAGCGATCCTGATCAGTATTATTATTAATAAAAGTGTTAACAGGAGTTTCTGTGATTGCCATCCTATGATAAATCTATGCTCGAAACACTATACTAGAGAAGAACGAGATATAATAGAAATATTTGAGACGAATTGTCACTAAGAAGCAGTTCAATCAACGTTAAACTCCGTTAAACGCTTTCCTAACCATACTTACTTCGCGTAAGTATTTCGCATGAATGTGAAAAATCTCAATAATTTCGACTCATTGATGTAATAACGCGTCTAACCCTCTTGTTATTTTCTAATGTATCTGTCAGTTTCATGGATATAAGTTTCATTTTTCTAAATCATTGTTTGTTGTGAAGTCTTAAGTTTAAAATTTATATTATAAATTTTAACACACCCCCTAGCGAAGAAGCCTTCTCTCTTTACTGTTTTTCTTCAAAAAAATATTCGGAACGATGGCAAAATGGGGCGAAGGTGACCCACGTTGGATTGTGGAAGAGAGACCTGATGCGACTAATGTTAATAATTGGCACTGGTATGTCAAGCTAATATCAAAATTTAACATTTAATTAAATTCTATTATATTATTCTATTCTATTAAGTATTTAATTAAATCCTATTATATTATTCTACTCTATTATGCATTTAATTAAATTCTATTATATTACTCTATTCTATTATATATTTAATTAAATTCTATTATACTGTTTTATTCTATGAAGCATTCAATTAAATTCTATTATATTATTCTATTCTATTAAACATTTATTTAAATTCTATATATATGTATATATATATATATATATATATATATATATATATATATATATATATCTCTTATAATTTACATATTGACTAGGAACATATTTAAATATTAATATATTTGTCCTTTGTATTTATCTGTTTTATCATGATTGTGTTCCCATATTCATAGTCAATACTGTGAATATTTACAGTATATATAACATATACTATAGATTTTTCATACCAGCAGTGAAGATCAAAATGCAGTCTATATAAAAATCGTGTTATAGGACAGAGAAAAATGCCTATGCGTGGTCGCAAGAAAAGTTAAAAGAGTTGTTTTTAAACGCAACAGTTGAGGGGGATGGAAGTTAGTATTATTCACTTGTGTATTGTATAATCAAGGAAAAAATTGAAAAAAAGACATACTATTTCCTCAATATATATAATAATATTCTTTGGCACATTATACATATTCAATTTGCAGTATCATGTAAAATAATAGAAATGGAGAAGTGTGAAGGTGAGGCGGTAGCAAATAATAGAAAAGGAAAACTTATTTTCTTTTATGAATGGAATATTGTCCTTAAATGGGAGTTGAATGAACAATCTGATCATAAGAAAATTGAGGGTAAAATTAATATCCCTAATTTATCTGAAGAAAATGATATCAATGAAATAGATGTAAGTATCAATTTCTCTCTTTTTGTTTTCTTTCCTTCTCTCTAATTCAATATATAATTTCTTGAAATAGATATTTTCTCGAATTAAATATTTACTTATATGTGTGTTTTATAATTTACAGATCGAAGTTACATTAAAAGAGAGTACCGATGAAGGAGAGAAGGTGAAACACTTTTTGCATACAAAGGGAAAGAATATATTAAGAAAAAAATTGGAAAAATATGTATCTTCTTTGAAGGAAGGTAAAATAATTTACTAAAGTATAATATATATATGCAGGGTGACTTATGTAATTCTTAACTTATGTAATAGTTTAATATCTCAGAAATTGTGAATAATTTAAATGAATAATTTGAGATATTTTATGTCTTGCATTGAAAAGTGACAGGATGATATATAAAATAACTCAGAAAGAGTATTTACTTTTTGAGGACTTCAGTACTTTTGTACGCAGAATGACTGGAGAAATCGGTTTATACCGAACCATATGATTTCATTTAAAAAATTAATGTGGACAAGACCACATTCAAGACCATTCCAAATAAGTATTACTATCTTTTGTTTCTTTCGATATCCTACAATTTTTGTTACACACTTTCTTTCGATATCCTACAATTTTTGTAAAACACTTTTTCATATCTTTTTTGATTTCTAAAATATCAAGCTGTAAAGAGTTACATATGAGTCACCTTGTATAGATATAAAACTTAATTCTGTTGCTAGGTATAAAACATAATATAGAATATTTATACTGTTTTTCTCTTGTTTAGAATTTACAAAAGGAATGATACTTCCTAAAAAAGATAATATAAAGGAAAATATCTCGAATATAACATCTGGCTTCAACATCAAAGTGAGTACCCGATATTTGCGATATCAGAACCTAAAGTGCTACTAATTCTTTTTTTCTTTCAAGATGCAAATGAATTCTGCAGTGGTACCAACAAACTATAACAAATCAGTAAGTTGTAAAATCTCCACCACTACCATTAAGCAACAACAAAAATTTCAATGCAGGGCGGAAGAATTATTCAATGTTTTTACTATTGTTGAGGTAATAGTTTAATTAAGTTATCTCATAGTAATTTATAGTAGTACACTTTTAATGTAACTGTAGTAGTCTTTAATTATTCTAGATGGTGCAAGCCTTCACGAAAGGTCCAGTGAAGCTTGAACTAAAGAAGAATGGTCAGTTCGAGCTCTTCGGTGGCAATATTCACGGCGAGTTCATCGAAATTACACCGACAAAAATTGTACAGAAATGGCGTTGCAAACAATGGCCGTCTGATCATTATAGTCATGTAACTATCGATATTTGTGAAAAGAGCGATCACACCGAAGTTAATTTAACACAGATCGGTGTCCCACTAAGGTAAGGAAAGACTATGGTTTTTTTTTTTGCGGTATAATCTGCCTCGCTATTTTGTTGTCGAGTACGATCGCCACGATATGATGGGAAATTGTCATGCTTTACAGTGAGGAGATCTCTACGAAAGAAAATTGGGACAGGTATTATTGGGACGCCATAAAACGGACTTTCGGCTTCGGATATTTTATGTGATCTAAATTCGCCCTCTAATGGATATTTATTTATTGCTAAGTAGAACAATCGCGCAAATATTACGCGTAATCGCCTTGTACACTCACGTGAGCGCTTGACTAATGCTGAAAGCATGAATCGAATCTACGTGGTGAAAATAACATTTTCGGTATGCACAGATTTTTTCAGTTGTTCGTACATTTGATACTGCCTTGTGTAAGGCAGTTGAATATTGTGATTGCGCGATAAAGCATTAAAAGTGACTTGTATGTCTATTAGATGTATGTGTCCAATAAATCATAAGATAGCGAACAGTAATCTGATCTGTTCCAGCGCAGTTATTAACGCGCAGCTATCATATATTGTAGCAAATCATTATCTTCTTCAACGATTTTATAAATGCCAGCGACTAAAAATGGTATTATTAATTATAATAGTTGACTTAAAAGAACAAAAAATAGCTGAGGAAATAAATATTTATGCATATTCTGTGTCGCAAATAAGGGTTGGAACTCTAACAAATATAACGTCTGTTGTTACATAGTTTATTATTTCCTACAATATATGATGGTTACGCTCTCATAATTACGGTAAGGCTCTTCTAGAATTCACCATTTCTATTTGAATTCGTCTTCAGATAAGCCGTATTTAATAATGTTTGTAATTATTTTTTATCTGTTCTTCCTATATAATAACGATGCGTCATAATCCTTTGAGTCGTAGTTAATTAGATGATCATCGACCTAGTTATAGTTGCGTGCTTGCTATGGGTATCACGTGTATAAATATTTTCTCACATTATCTGCAAATGCACAACATGCCGACGACGCGATCAGTGTTCTCATCGAAATAACATCGGCAGCATCTCGCACAGTGTACGACGATAGCACTAGTATCATCGTTCCCTGTAACGTTCCCCCGAACCAAATATTGTCAGTTTAAATGATTAAAATCCGCGATTATTGCGCCACCAGCAATAATACGAAAGTGCGCGCGACTCATATCCAATTGAAATCATCGCGCCAAAATACATCTAAGAGCCGCGCCAGGATACGCCTGCCACGCATCGGACTCTTTTATCCCCCTTCGCACAGGACAGACCAATGTCCTCGGATGCTAGACGGGAGTGGTATGAATGGGCAGATCCAGTCTGGAGCGTCAAATGCGCGCGCCTTTAAAAATCAAAATCAATGTAGTCGGCTACATCGCGCGCTCGTTCGCACTGGCCCGCTCGCTCGCTCGTGGATTGCCCACGCCCTTAGTCCCAGCGCGGACGTTGCCAGTGCAGTGCCGTTTATCGTTCCCCTCTCCCTCTCTTTCCCCCTCTCTCAATCTACCTACCTATCTATCTATCTTTCCCTTTCTATTTCTCCATGTGTTCTCTGTCTCTCTTACCTCTCCCCCCCGTCACGTAGTACAGAGGTATGCGTTGCCTACACTCACGTAGACGTTCATTCATCCCCTCTCGTTCCCTTTCCCCACCGTTTCTAATTCTGTTCTCTCTCGCGCGCGCATCTTCCTCCCCTCGACCGAACATCTCTCTTCGTTCCTTTCTTTTTAATTCTCCGTCTGTCTCTTTTCATCTCAGTTCTCTCCTGACGACCTCTCTCCGTCACTCGCATCCCTCGAACAAGTCAGTCGGGCAAAATTGTACGAGAGCGGGGTTAAATTACCTCCTTCGTCTGAGAGGAAGAGAGAGAGAGAGAGAGAGAGAGGCACTCTCCGCTCACCGCCACTACCACCGCCACTACCCCACCACTACCATCATCATCTCTATCTCCAGTCTTTACTCCGATCCCGCGCCAACATCATCGGTGAGCTCGCGATTTACGCGTGGAGCATCCCTCCGTGTTTAACGCGCGCCCTTCCTTCTCTCGTCTCTTCCTTCCTCACTCGTGCTCTTTCTCCCTCTTTCCCATTCTTACCCTCTCATCCTCCGATTTTTCTCCTACATCCCCTACGACGGAGCAGAGTTTCTCTCTCCCTCTATCTCTCTGTCTGTCTCGCTTGCTCTCCCTCTCCATACATATATATCTCACTCCATCCTTGCACCCTCCCCTTTCACCTCTCTATCCCCATCTAAATCCCTTTCTCTCTCTCTCTCCCTACATTTCAAAGCGCGCTTGGCCGCGTGTACGTGCGCGTCTGTGTTCCGCCCCGAGCGTCGGACCGCGTTAACCATGCGTGTACCCATTTACGCGGCTGTCAGTCGTCCGGCGACAGTCTAACGAGGCCTACGTCGTCACGATTTCTGCTCTAACGGACCATCGTCGGTCGCGTAACAAAGGAGTAGCAGCAAGGACGAGAAGCCTCCATCAGCGATCCTTGACGAGAAGCAGGCAGCGCGAGCGGACGTCGTGATCGCGACAGTCTCGACGTTTTCCTCCTCCTCCTCCTCATCATCATCGTCGTCGTCGTCGTCGTCATCATGACCGCACGCTCGAGCCGGTACTCGTCCTCGCACGAACCTTACCATCGGTGATACGAGGGTACGCCGCGCGCACACCCACTACAGACGACAGACATGTGAGTACAGAAAAGTGCTTTTCCTTATCCCGCCGTCGGTGTCAGCCCCGTTGTCCACCTCTTACACCCCCAAGCGATCGCATCGCGCGTCAGTCCACTCGCTCCTTCGGCCGAGACGCGCGACCGAATAGCAGCGGAGCTCTCTCGACGGCGCGAGAGGAGTTCCCACGGCATATCCTTCGCTACGTAGGGTAGAGTCGTTCGCTCGCGCGCTCCTGTGCGTTGCACATTATCGAGAGGGTGGATCGGCTCGCACCACCTCGCCTGGTTCGTAGACGACGCCAGGCGCGTATATATGCCGCCGTCGCTACCGTCGCTATCGCCGCCACCGCTGTCGTCTTCGCCGTCGCCGTCGCCGTCGCCGTCGTTGTCGTCGTCGTCGTCATCGTCATCGTCGTCGTCGTCGTCGTCGTCGTCGTCGTCGTCGTCGCCATCGCCCCCGCCACCGCCGTCGTCGCCGCCGCCGCCGCCGCCGCCGCCGCCGCCTCGTGTTAAGAACACTGCCGGGAGGATGCGTGACGCACTCGACACGGACGAATATAGTTCGGGGATGTAGAAGGTCTGTTTTTCCCTCGCTTCTTGTCTTCACCCCGTCCCTCGCTTTTTTTTCTCATCTGTGTCATGCGTGCCGTGCCGCGATTATCGGCAGCAACCGCCAGCTCTCGGCCGGTGCCGAGCGCGGAGATCGTGTCGTCTCGCGTTGGGCGGGTAGGGCGAGAGCACGCTACCGTACGGACCACCCTGCTTTTTCGGGTAGTTTACATTCTCGGGACTACTAGTCGCGTCGCGTCTCTCGCTCGGCACGTACCCGCCGAACTTTCGCGGGCCCGTTTAGCGATCGTAGCGACGGCATGCGTGTCTCTTTCGGGTGGACTTACTGGGACGCGAATTCGTGGAGCGAGAACGTCGCGGAGCCCCGAGCATGTGCGTGTGGGAGTGAGCCGGAGGTGTAGGTTGTGTAGCACAGTATGGGGCCGCGTCCGACAAGTTTTCTCGGTCCCCGAGCAGTGTTTTTCTGCTCTTCTTTTTCTTCCCTCGAAGCAGTGCGAGCGACTCTTAGATGTGCCACGAGATTCTCACGCCCAGGGTCGATCTTTCGGTAAACTTGAGCCGCTCCCCGGCTCCTTAGTATTGAAAATTTTCTCTGACGTCGTCGATGATGCAGACGTGAATATAGTCGGCATCTTGAATCTGTCATTCGAAAGTGTTTCGCCGCTCGACGTGGAGAGAAAACCACCCATCAGGGTGAGATCTTGGCGTGCCGATCGTTTAGAAGCTGTCGTTCGCACTGCTACTTGCATGACGATAACGCTGCAGCTTTTGTGAATTATTTTGAATACATACTGACGATATATTTAGGAATCTTTGGAACACGTCGAAATCAATAAATGTTATCGAACGTAATTCGGAATTCAATCGCGCGACGCATGCATTACGGTCAGCCTGCATTATACAAATCGCTTGCGTTCACTTGAACGCACTCGATTAATCTTGACTCCGCCGTAGGCGCTTCGCCGAACTGAAAGTTTTCGTCGACGGCTGCAATAAGCGTAGCCTAATTCGTCCGACGTTTCGTAGGCAAGAGGAAAGGAGGGGCGGGAGCATATAGCGCGATCTTCTTCGTTATACAATACAATTGGTTACACAATCGTCGACGACGACGACACACGCGTGTATCGAGAGTGTAGCCTGCAAAACGCCGTGCAAGTCGCGTCGCTTGTTTATTCTATAAGAGCGCACGCGAAATTTTCCACGTTATTGACGAGGGGCATGTACGTGAGAATTTTTCAACATGCGAGGGACTCGAAAATAACCGGCGTGGCGAAGGAGGGCGCAGGAGATATCGCTTTTCATTAAAACAACGTGCTCCCGAGCCGCTATTTTTCCGCGAGTATTCGCGCACGCGTATGTGTGCTCAAATGGCCATAGTTATGCAAGAACGATCCAACCCACAAAATTAGGATTCTGGAATTTTTTCTTACCATAGTAGCATATAGTCTTTCTGTATAAAACTATCCAAGTCTTACGGGCGTTCAAAATTAATTAAAAAAAACAACAGTTATTATTTTCTACTAGTTGCGCTTTTTTTGCTATTTCTTCAAGGGTTAAACTCGCTAATGAATACCCTTGAAGAGAAGAAAATCGACCGACTTCTTGAACAATCGCGAGGAATCTCAGTGTTATCTATGTTTCTTCAATTATGCATGAAATTTTCATCTTCATTTTTCTCGACACGTACTTCATGTAAGTTTGATCATTCTCGCATACCCATGTAGAAATTTCCCCACTTTTTCCCCATTTATTGTCAGATTCCGATAAGATTTCCCCATTTAAGAAAACTTGAAAGATTTCGACTTGTTTTCTTAACTTAGAACCTAATCTTTGTTAATTTATGGAAAAATGTAAGACTTTCTCATCAGGAACTCAGATATTCCCGATCAGGAACTCAGATATTTGGCAAGTATCTGAGCATTCAAATCAGTTCCAGTTGGGATTATCTAAATCCATGCTGGCGCTAATGTCGCCCAGAAAGCCGAGAAAAATTATATTTTGAGTGAAGTCGGTCATACGAATCCTATATGATGTAAAAACAGCATTTACTTATGTAATTAATAGAAGCGTGTGTTAAACCTTATAAAAGCGGTAATTTTATTATAACCAGTGGAACTTTCTCCTGAGAAGTTTAATTCTTTCGTGCCAGTTTTCTTTTCATCATCATTATCCTTAGACGCAAATTCAGTTTCAACGGGACATCATTTCGTCGTTATTGTATGAATGTCCTGCGGAGCGATCTAAAATTCATGTGAACGATATGTTTTTACATCATAAAAATATGTTAATGATAACAGTAGGAATCATTTCAGTTTAAAATTCTTTCTTGTTTCCCTCACTATAGTTCAAAATAATAATTCAAATATCAACGAGAAATCCTGTTAGTAAGTCTGATTGGATCTCTGTCAGTTTTTCCAGGATTCCTATTAAAAATCGGACGTTTCCCAACCGGATTCAGACGGGGCTTACTGGTCAGATTGTAACGATAAATGGGAAAAACATACCGGATCCCTACCCAAATTTCTACATGGGCAATTACACAGAGAGAATCTTATAGCTAGAATTACTATGGGAAATAGACCGCGAAATAGACCGACATTCTGCAGTAATCCGCTCTATCCTTTTATTTCATATGCGCTACATATATTTTAAAAATTGAAATATATGTGCTGTTAAAACATTTGCTGTGTTTCGAGCGAAATTTACTATGTTCTTAGCAAAATAGATAGACTTTACTGGCAGTCTACGGCTGAACTACTACAAATATATAGTATGAAAAGAATTTTATATGAAAAAAAAGAAAACTACAATAAAACTACAAATTCTCTCCGTGTACTATAGCTATACATGTATGTAGGCCGAGGATACGGAAAAGGGCATTTACGTACATATCGCGAATCACTCTCTCTGTGCGCGTATAAAGTAATAGATAATCGCCGATTTCGGGCCGGGAATACTTAGGAGCTGGCACTTTGGCCGTCACGTCGCACTCAAACGAATGGCGCCTATATTTCTCCGAGAGTTATGGCACTTGAGAGTATGGCAACGACGACTTTATTTCCACTTGATCCGTATTCGCCGTCTATATAGACGCGATATGAATCGAGTGAATAAAAATAAGACGTTCAATCGTGTATGTCGCATGAAGCTGCAAGAGCAGATGCATACATGACTTGTATGCTGTCGCTAATTGGCAAACGCTTAATAGCGACGATACCCACGTCGTCGTTCAATATCAAATGCCATAAGCGAATCGATTATACAGCGACGTGCATTAATAGATCCGTGGTGTTGCGCTCGTGTTCACAAACTGATTGTATGATATGCGACTCACTGGCCCTGTCATTCTGTCGTTCTTTCATCGACTGAAGCATAAAAGGATTAATCATGCGCGATATATCGAGCGCGAAAGGATATATGTTTTTTTTTTAAATATCACGGAAAAAAGATCGAAAGGCAAAGTGTAAGTACACAAGGTACGAAGGTAGTTGCAGGAATTTAAAATGACAGCGTGCACAACTAGCCCTGTTTAAAACGATGGATGCACTATGATAACATTGAGTAAGGTTTAGCCTGAACTTCAAGCTAAATCAATGTGAATCAATAAGATTCATGATTGATTTATATTGAACTTCAGACTGAATATGATGCACGGAAAATATTTGATTGGATTAATCAAATGTCTGGTGAAATATGAACGAACCAAAAAATTGCGGTCGAAGTTATCAGAGTTCTGTTCGAGTTAACAAGATCCTGATTGACCAAGATTTCGGGTTAATCCGTTCGACTTGAAACATTTGCGAGTTCTGGTTAAATAAACGAGATTTCTAGTTAACCAGAATCTTGTTGAACAAAATTATGGTGATTTCGACTGGAATTCTGGTTCGTTCATACTTCACCAGACTTTGGCTAATCCAAACCTTCTTTACCGTGTGTAATCGTGTCATTTTGTAACCATTATCTTGAGTAGGTGCACTGCGTGCACGACAAGAAGGAAGAGATTTTTTTCGGAGCGAGAACTGCGCTCGCGCAGCGCGACATTCGCGGATTTAATTCGTCCTTTGTCTCTACATGGGCGGGGATGTATGCTTCCGCTTGTGATTCGCAACTCATCGGTATCGCCGGTGATACGTTTCCGGCTTTACGTAAGGCTGTTATAGCACTCTTACCGTACCGAACATCGCCGTCGTGGCCGTCGTTATGTCATCTCCGTCGTGAGTCGCCAGCGAATCTGACGATTTTATCGATGTTTCCGGTATTTCGATAACATCGAAACATCAATATTCCGCTTCCTATGTTGGGTATTTTTAGCGCCCGCATTTTACTCTCGATGGCACATAGTTATTATGTGTGTGTGTCTATATATATATACACACACACGCGCACGCACGCATGTGTATGCATGTAATCTTGCAATACCTTATATATTTATCATGTATATGTCAGTTATCTGCATCGATTTTCCTTATTCTTGTCGGTCTGGAAATCTTCTCTCGAGTGGCACGAGGGATTTTTATTCGTTCAAGACATTCCAAATCGATTAAAAAAGAACAAGAAAAGAAAGGAATGTATCGGTAATTGTTGAAATATTTCATGGTCGGCGGACACTGCAGTCGCGGAGAATCACGATGCTGGATCGAATCGGGTAGGACGCAACATTTCGCGCAATGTCAGACCGCAATTGCAGTTCCGGTCGCACGGAAAGCTTTGAATTCCTCGACTCGACCTCGCGCTAGGTTCCTTCTTTTCAGCTACACTTTATTACACTCTCTCCTCACTCTAAGTGAAACGATTGTACTTCACGCTTGGTGGAGGGCGAGAGAGAGAGAGAGAGAGAGAGAGAGAGAGAGAGAGAGAAGGGGGATGAGAAAGCGAGAAGAAAAGTGTAGACAAGCGCGGAAAGTGGCAGCTGAAGAGAACGAAGCTATTATAATCCACGATAACAATCTGTCGCTTGTCTCGCCTTTCAGCGTGGTATGACAACTTCAGCAGTGTTAATGATAATATCGCACCGCGCGACTTTTAGTCCCTTTTTTAACAAAAGAAGTAGATATCTTTATAATTTCGCCAACTCGAGTTGAGTCTTTCTCTTTCTCTCTATTACTCCTTTAAGCGCGCAATCTATTTTGCAGAGAGAAATAATAACGCACAGATACGCCCAACACATGCACATGCGCGACAGCTCATTCGATAGCAGAAGGAAATATTCCGTGTTCGGGTTTTGTAACGGCCCGATCTCGCCGTTAGAACGTTAGCTCTTGAATTGCATCACGAGTGGGAGGAAGTGCGCCTTTTAATCGCGATCACAGCGAGCGGCACTGCTCGCTGATGTTCTATTAGGGAAAAGAAGCTGGAAGTCCGTCGGTCTCTCGTGCTATTCCGGAAGAAAGAATAATGCTTCGACCTCGATCTCCTACGTGTCTCGAAGGTGTTGCTCCGTTCTTTGACGCAAAGCCTCGGCTTTGGCGCGAGACTATAAAGGGTATATCAGAAATCGCTCGTTCTTGGCCGATCCCGACTTCTCAAAGGGTGTAAGGCTGATCTGTCTCGAGGCGACACAACCGTAAATTTCAATATTACGCCCGATGCCGCCGCGGTTCTCGCTCTTATCTTCATAATGATGCTAACATTTCGCGTTTTCATCATATGTCTCGTTTGTCAAATTGCTGTCCAAGTCTCGTTCTCTCGTTTGG